TATACTTTTTATATTTTAAAATTTTGTAGGCAAAAATCCTTAAAACCATAAATACTACACATATAAATATGTATACAGTACAATACCATACTGCAAAATCCCACAATATAGCAACAAATCTGCAAAAAATTTAGATTAATATTTTCTGAAAACCCATGAAAGAGTGACTGTGAAAGTCAAGCTGCGTAATAGCGAGGGACTACTGTGTTTGATTTCATTTTGCTAAGGTTGTTAAGGAATAACAGGGCAGAAAAGGCACTGAGATGGCAGTAATCTTGGTTTTGAAAACAAATGATAATCCTTGGCAGCAAATGGCAAAGTGTTAACATGGAAAAGGGAAAATTGAAGAATAATTATGAGTATGTTCCCAGTACCAGGAGTTCTGGTAGACTTGATAAAAGAACTGATTAAGTACATTAGTGGGGGATTATACCGGTATGAGAATTATATGATGAAATGAATTTCTCAGTACAACTTAGGTGTTACAGTAAAAGAAAAAGATGAAATTTAAGTGAATCTAGCAGAATTACATGGCATTAGAGGTGGGATGAGTAAATAAAAATGTAATAAATTGACTAAGAATTATCCAATTATTAGAGAATTTCTCATATAATATGTCCTTTGTTCTCATAAAATCACAAATTCTTGTGTGATGTTCTTTTGTAAAAACTCCCACTTCTTTCAGTATGTAGTGTCTTTCTACCCTTTTCTATGAATTCAGATTGTCCACATGTTAAAATACTTGTTAAAAAGTTTCTTCTATAATCTCAACCCTATTTTTCTCCTTTTCATTGTTCTTTTGGTACCAGGACTCAACCTCAGGCCCTCAGGCTTGCCAGGCAGGTGCCGTGCCACTGAGCTATATTCCTGGCCCTCCTTTTCATTTTCATAGTTCTGAATATGTTAGTTTCCTAATGATATTTAGTCTCTTATTTGCCTGTTAGGCTTTTCTTTCATGCTTCCCTCAAATACTGTGCAGGTGTCACACTGTAGCGCGCGGTAGCAGGCAATAACCCAGCTGGCTCTTAGGTGATGCTTTTGTCATTTTTTTTAGAATCCTGGTTACCATAAAGCTATAGTAACATCTTTGATGTTTTAAGTGAAGTTCAGAAAATTCCATCTTCAACTCAACTATTTTTGCCATGTACTGTATGTAAAATGTGTTAACAAAAGATGATTTCAGAGTACCCAGAACTGTTAATAAAATACACATTTTTTAAAAATGTGTGATTTAAGATTACCAATTTAGAAATCCTTATCCAGTGTTCAGTGCTTTTGGCGGTTCTTGACTGCTATTATTAAGTGGGCATCATTACTGAAGAGGCAGCATATAAATTAGAATTACTGCAGATGGGAAAGGAAGGAAAATTTATTTGTGTTTTCTTTTAAGATTACCAATTCAGAAACCCTTGTCCAGTGTTCAATTCTTTTGGTGGGCATTCTTGGCTGCTATTGTTATGTGGGTGTCATAACTGAAGAGGAGGCATATAAATCAGAATTATTCCAGAAAGCAAAGGTAGGGCAATTTATTTGTGCTTTTTT